TACATGAAATAAATTACATGCTGTTCTTCTTTTAACTTTTGTCAATTTAATTTTCAGCGGAAGCCAGGGATCCGATGAGGGTCGAGAAAAAGATGTGTCTCCCCTATAAGCTCAACTTTTACCTTCCCTCCTTTTTGCAGGGTAGATTCCCCAGAAAGCACCCTCTAAGATGGAGATTAGCGAGCAGGTTTGTTAGGGAGTTCTCATGGGATCAACATCTGGAGAAGGGAAGGAAAGGAAGTCAAATTGGGCAGAGGGAGAAACTGAACTACAATGTAGTCGCAAAGAAGGTCTCAGCCCACTGGACAGGGAATTCTTTGCTGGGAATGTCTTTCTGAGTCATCCAAGTTGAGGCAGAGAGCTCGGTACTGTACACCCCCTTTTCAATCAGTCATTAGATGCAGCCCTCCATAGAAGTGGGCGTGACAGTGGCAAGGAGGCAGCTCTCTTCCACCAAGGCAACCCCCTAGGGTGCTGACAACTGAGGGCTGTTGGCAGGCAGCTCTCCTAGCAGCTGGGGGCCTCAATGCCTCTCTCCTTAAGGATGATCTGAGTAGCTCATCACAGCCTCCACCCACCACTCCTCCTTCTTCCTAATCATGCTTCTTGGGAAATACAAACCTTCTTCATCTCAGCCTCAGCAAGTGCTAATTGAGCGAAGATTATACAATTGCTTGATTTTTCACCAATTTACCCTGCACCTTATAAAAGCAGATCCAGTTTGGAGAGTTAAGGCTGGGCAAATGGTGGAATTGAGGTGGTGATGTGGGATGGCCCTGACCCGACAGTAAGAGCTATCAGTTACTGAATATTGTCTTCTAGGCTTAGGATGGTGGAGTTGAGGTGGTGATGTGGGATGGCCCTGACCCGACAGTAAGAGCTATCAGTTACTGAATATTGTCTTCTAGGCTTAGGATGTTTCTGCTTTCCTTTAAAGTCCTTCAGCAAAGGTAGTGTGATATTACAAGCTTGCTGAGTCTATAACCTGGTAATGATGAGCAGCCCAGTCAAGAATGAATGGTTCAGCAAACATTCCCAGTACGTTAGGGGGCGGAGGTGGGCAGATCACTTGAGGTCAGGAGTTCAAGACCAGCCTGGACAACATGGTGAAACCCCATCTCTACAAAAAAAAAATTAGCTAGGTGGGGTGATGCCCGCCTGTAGTACCAAGTACTCAGGAGGCTGAGGCAGGAGAATCGCTTGAACCCAGAAGGCAGAAGTTGCAGTGAGCTTAGGTTGCACCACTGCACCCCAGCCTAGGTAACAGAGAAAGATTTCATCTCAAAAGAGGAAAAAAAAAAAAGAATGAAAGAATCAATGGTTCAAGGAAGGCCAGAAAGCTCATTCTAGAAGCTGACTGCTGCAAGCCCTTGTTTTTTACATTTCAGGTAACAACGAAAGCTTTGTTAACTGGCACCCATAATGTCAGAAATGAGAGTGTGCATGTCTGTGTGTAAGTATTGGCCTGTTAACCAGCTTGATGCATATTAGAAATGGGCTCTCATTGGTGAAATTAAGGCATTCACAATACATGGATTGGCTTAAATCCTGGAGAGACATGCCACATGTTTTTGTGAACATGATAGAAGAATCCAGGGAAATCTGTAAACTTTACCCTAATCATTTAATGCTCTCATGAATGAATCTTTTCATGCTAGGTGGTGGCTGCAATAAAATAGGCTATATGAGCTGTTTTTGTGCCTGCTTGCTGAAACAATAATAATTGATAAGCCCTCCCGTGTGTGGTAGAGATTCCCTTTCTTTAAAACTCAGAAACAAAGCCACATAGAGAGTGGCAAACCCTCAGCACCTCAAACCTCTTCACTGGCTGCTTGTATGTACCACAAAAGAACCTGGGGTTGTCCTCTACCAAACTGTCTCTGGTCAGTTTGCATCTGGGCACAGTACCTGGTGGTATGTGAATGTACTTCATTTAATGCCCACAACAGCACTATCAGGTAGATAGTGTTGTTTATATCCATTTTATGAATGAGAAGCCCAAACCTCAGAGTGATTTAATAACTCACCCAAGGTCTTCGTAGTAGATCCAACCAGGATTTGGACCCAGGTCTGTTTGTTCTCCAAGTTCTTCACTTCCGGCCTATACTGCCTGCAGGAGGGCTGTGTAGGAAGTCAGGCGGGGAAATGAAATGGGCACAGCTCTTCCTGGTTGGCTATTCTCGATTCTTACATGACCATGTGCCAGAACAGTATTAGGGGCTGGTCATGGTTGTTGACTCCTGTAATCCCAGCATTTTGGGAGACTGAGGTGGGCGGATCACCTGAGGTCAGGAGTTCAAGACCAGCCTGGCCAACTTGGTGAAACCTTGTCTCTACTAACAATACAAAAATTAGCTGAGTGTGGTGGTGTGTGCCTGTAATCCCAGCTACTTGGGAAGAGGAGGCATGAGAATTGCTTGAACCCAGGAGGCAGAGGTTCAATGAGCAGAGACCATGCCCCTATACTCCAGCCTGGGTGACAGAGCAAGACTCCATCTAAAAAAAAAAGAACAGTATTAGGGAGGTGGCCTGCTTACCTGGATATGTATGTGGCACATCTCCAAAAGGTTTAAGCCCTTCCACGTGTCTTGGGAATTTTTAAAATTTCACCAATAAGAGCTTATTTCCAATATTCATCAGGCTGGTCAAGAGGCCGATATTTTTACCCCCCCCAAATAAACAAATACCTAAAAATAAAATGAAACTCATTTCTGACATTCTGGATGCTAACGCCTGATGACTGCGCTGCCATGAGCCATCCAGGTGGTTCTCATCAAGGTGCTTCAACCTTCCAGGCTTTGCTTACTTCCTCCAGAAGGGAAGTCTTGCCCCCTAAAGGTTTATGTTTGTGACATACGTGTGTGTGTTACGAAGTACAAAGTAGGGCACCAAGGCTGTGGAACAATAGTGAGACAAAAATAGGCTAAAATGCCCCTAGAGGAGGCATCTGCTGCCCAGACAAGAACTTCAGAAAGTGTGGGCTTTCTGGGCTGAGCATGGTGGCTCATGCCGGTAATCCTAGCACTTTGGGAGCTGAGATGGGCAGATTGCCTGAGCTCAGGAGTTCCAGACCAGCCTGGCTAACATGGCGAAACCCTGTCTGTAATAAAAATACAAAAATTAGCCAGGCATGGTGGGGGGCACCTGAAATCCTAGCTACTCAGGAGGCTGAGGCACGAGAATTGATTGAACCTGGGAGGCAGCCAAGATCACGCCTCGGTGACAGAGTGAGACTCTGTCTCAAAAGAAAGAAAAGAAAGTGTGGGCTTTGCAGAGCTGGACTGTTGGCCGGTGGAAGGAGGAATGCCTCTGGAACCAGCCCCCTGGTGTAGAAGATGGTGTTGGCCCCCTATCTCCTGACTGTGGCATTCACCATTGCTGTATGCAACACCGGCTTCTTATCGCAGAAACCTGCAACTCTGTGGGGCTGCCTCTGGCCACAGGAGCATGCTCAGTCCATGGCCAGGCTGGAAGTGCCCAGGGTTGTCCCCAAGAGCAGCGCCAACCAAAGATGAAGGGAATTGGGTAAATGCCCATGCTCCCTAGCCTCTGGGAGGATGGCTCTGAGGCAGGTTCTATTCTACCGTCTCCCCACAGTTCCCAGTGGGAATGAGCTTCATTGCGCAGAGATGACCTGCTCGTGAACACACTCTCGCTCCACTTCCTTCCCTCTGTTTCACTTCCCCATCCCCCGACCCGTGTTCCCTGGGCCCACTTCCCTTATTAACTGTGTGTGCTCAAATATTTGCTTCCATGGAAACCAGATTACCTGGTTCAAATCCGAACCCTGCCACTGGCCAGCTGTGCCTTAGGAACATCACTCCCCTGAGCTGCAGCATTCTCAGCTGGGATTGTGAGATGACAAAGTAGAACAATCCTCACCAGTCAGGTGTCAATTGTTTAGCGCGGCATCTGGCATTCGGCAGACACACAATAAATGTTTTTATTATTTATTATAATCATTGCTTATTATTGATAGCCCCTGAGATTTCCTTGGCCAAGTCCAAGTCCATTCTGAGAGTTCTAAGCTCTCAAACTTCAGACTTCCATGGAGTGACTCTCCCTGGTTGTTTCAGGGAATCTAGTTCATGCATTCACTTAACATATCTTTAGCAAATATTGACTTAACACCTATTATGTCGAAGACAGTGTGACACTGGATATAAAAAAATAAGATGAGGTCACGGTCTCCAGGGAGATAAGACGTATCCACAGACAGCTACGGTCTAAGGCAGATTGTGATAAGTGCTCTTGTGTGTGCCAATGGAGCATAAAGTGAGATCAGAGGAGGGTGAAGAAAACTGTGTGTGGTATGCAGGAGTATTGGAGGAGCTGGGTTTGGGAAGGGGTAGAACTGCATCAGAGGAGATGGAGGGGAGAGGATACAATACACAGAAAGGGGAAGTGATACCCTGTAGGAGTTTGGCATCCCAGAGACAACTCAACAGTATGGTAATGTGTGATCCCATGATTGATGAGCCTCTATCTCTCAGAGCCAAGGGGACAGCAGATTCTCCCCCTAGATTATTACCATTCCTGACACATAGCACTTACCCTGCCTTAGGAACTGAACTACAGGGGATGTGCTACCTACGTTAACTGATTTAATCTTCACCTTCAGGGTCAGCACAACTATGATCTCTACTTAACAGATAAGGAAACTGAGGCTAGCGGGCTTAAATGTCTTGCTCCAGCTCCCGCGGAAGCTAAATGCCTGTCGTCTAATCCCAAGCAGTCTGGCTCCAGGGTTCACACTCTACATTGCCTTTCAAGTGTGGCATCTTTTCAGGATTTTAAGGGACTATGTTGCTGTAATGTTGACAGGGCTAGAGGAGAGACAGAAAGAAAGCCCTTCAGCCCCACAGAGGAAGTCCCCAAAGGATGGATGGTTCTGGAAGTTATGGGTTACCAGGACAACGCACCCCCTCAGCCTGACCACGCCCCCGGCCTGACCACGCCCCTCAGCCTGGCCACGCCCCCGGGCTCCCGCCCACTGGTTGCAAAACAGCCTGGTCCCTGCACGCAGCTTCCCTTCCTGGGGCCTGCTGGGGAAGCACCGGCGGCTTGTGGTGGCTGTGGTTTGGTGCTCGGGACCCACACGTAAAAGGAGCTCATTCTGAGGCAGGGGTACGCGCTTGTCCCCACCCTCCAGTAGGTGGTACAGGGGCAAGTTTGATCCTAAACGAAACAGAGCAGGGTCTTCCTGTTTGTTTTCCTCCTCCAGCGGGGAGCCAAGGCTGCTAATTGGATAGTGAAGTGACCGATTTTTTATTCTGTTATCCGTGCTGAGCAGAGCTGTAGGAAATCTCCGGGTTGGAGCAGCACAGTGGGGTGTCTCGGGGTCTCTCTCAGAAGGAGTTGACAGTGGGGACCAAAGCTGCCGGTCCCCAGGCTGCCGGCTGCCATGTTTTATTTGGCCTGCCCAGTGTTTAAAAATAGATAAAAAAACGTTTTTAAATAGATGCTGACATTTTTAAAAAGAAATAGATAAAAAAATAGATTTAAAAAGTTCTTAAATAGATGCTGACATTTTTAAAAAGGAAAGATTATTCATACACTTCTACATTTCCGGCTTGTGTCAAGAAATGGGAAGATCTGGGCCCAGATCCCCATAAGTCAGCGATGAGGGGGGAGGCTGGGCAGGGGCTGGCCCTTTAGACGGTCCAGAGTCCCAGCCACCAGCCCTGCTCACCTTTCTCACCTCTCTGGCCCCTTTGGCATTTGAGCCTGGGACCCCTGACGAAGGGATGCCTTTCCTCTTAGGACCTCTGCCAATCTGAGGACAGGGCCACCCCACAGACGCCGTGGCTCAGCAGGCAGACCAATGGTCGAGGAGTCTGGCAAGGGGCGCTTGGTGAGTGGGTTTAATGGCAGATTAAGCTGCCCATTAGGAAGCCATTAGAACACAGCGTGATGCATCACTGGGTAAACGAGAGAGGCTGAAGTTAGAGACAGGTTCTTGGAGCGCTTGATCCAATTTAACTCTTCTATTTTTTTTTTTTTTAAACCCTAGGCAGATGAGAGTGGTGGCTGTAAATCACCCTCTATGCAATGGCTCGTCATAAAGGATATGGAGTGAAATTAGAGGAGGCACGAGAAGGAAAGCCCGTGATGAACAAGGCAGGGGCTGCTGCAGCGTGATTGAAGACAGGCTGGGAACGTGGGAGAAGCCGCTGGAAATTGGCTTGGGCTGGAGGTCTGATTCTGGCGTGCCAAGCCAGAAGAGCCCTGAGCGAAGCCTTCTGCTCTGCCTTGGGGAGTAGGATAGGGAATATGTATGCAGAAAACTTCCTGAGACGGTGCCTCATAGTGCCATCTACATGGAATGTGAAGTCAGAATGTCTAAATCCTGGCTCCATTGGGTTTTGGCTGTGTGACTTTGGGTAAGTTACTTAACCTCTCTGAGTCATGTTCTCCTCCTGTGTTAAAGGAGGTAGTCATGGCAAATGCAAAGGGTGATGCTGGATATCAGGGTGGGCATCCACTAAGTGATGCTTTCTTCTGTTTAATGTTGTAAAAGATATAAACCAGCAGTCCCCAAACGAGGGTAGATTTTACTCCCCTTTAGATCAGGTGGCACTTGTTGGGGAGATCAAGCAGGTTCTGTTCCTCCCTAGTAAAAGCAGGAAGGCTTTCCTGGGCAGGGTCCTCTGAGTGCTGGAAGAGAAGGAGAGTGTCCACAGGTGTGTCTTGAGGCCCAGGTAGGCAATGTTATGGTGGGTGAACTCAGCGAGGAGGCAGGGGGGCAGCCTTGCACACACAGGTCACCTCTGGGTCCCCAGCACTGGATGCCAGCTGTGCTTGTTGAATGGATGCACTGCTCTCAACCTCCAAATCTGTTATCCGTCCTTCTCTATCCACTCTGTGCCGTGGGATACTGACCCTGGCAGCACTTCACCCAGTGTCTTTCTCTGTCTCTCCCAAGAGCAGAATAAAGATGTGAGGGCAGCCTGTTTCTTGGGGAGCTTACGGTGAATGTGAAGGTCCCCATGCAGGCCCCCCTTCCAGGAGGGATTGATTGCCCCTTGTTGGCTCCTTCAGGATCTGCCTTAACTTCAGAGACAGCCATGGACACGCCCTCCTGGGCTGCTCACATCTTCATCTGCATGGGGGTACAGAAGTCCGGCTATTCAGCCCATGGGAGACTCAGGACATGTTCCCAGCAACCTGCTGGGCTCCCCAAGTTTCTCCCTCTGCCCAGATCTACTTCCTCCCCATTCATTTCACAGATGTTGATTCCCTAATAAACACCTTGCACCTCACATTCCCATCTCAGAGTCTGCTTAGAGAGAACCCAACCTGCGTCGGATCTGGTCACAGGACTCAGAGCGAGGGAGCAGAGAAAGCGGACAGGACAGGGGGAGAGTCAATTTCAGGGTGTGTTGTCTAAGACAGAGGCTAGGGCCTCTGACATGGGTACAAGATGCCTAGAGCCATTCACTGGGCAGCATCTGTCCATCAGCTCCCAGGCCCCACAGAACAGAGCTGCCTGTGGGGGGGCTTTCACTGCCCTGCATTTCCGGGCTTCGCATACGCACTGGCTGGGAGGGCTCCCTATCTTCAAAGAGATCCTGAACAGAAAGTGGGTGCCCTGGAGGTGGCCTGCTGTTGTGAGAGTCTGAGCTTTGTGAGAGGCAGACCTGGGGGGCGTGGTGTGGGGCATCCCAAAGTGTCTGGCATATATGAGGTGCCCGGCCTTGGGAGTTCTGAGGGCAGGAGAAGAGGTAGGTGGGGTGAATCCTTCCCTGTCCCCTCCCTGCCTCAGCACCAGGGCTCAGGCAGCAGCACTGCCAGCTCTTCCTGAGCAGAAACACGGCCCTGCTCCCCTTGTCCCTTCAGGCTGAGGAACATAAGGGCTTCCCATGGTTGCTGATGTCTGAGTGCCTCAACCTCCCTTGCTGGTTCCTTTCCCCTGCCCACGCCTTTGCCAGTGGTCCCCCCACTGACGTCTCTTTGGTTGAGCAGTTGGCGGGGGTGCTGACGGATACAATGGTCTAGGCCACGGCTCACTGCTTAAAGCCTGGCTTCAGAGTGACTTTCCAGGGCTCTGCAGCTCCCCACTCTCCAGCTCCTCCAACTCTTCTCCCTCCTAGCCGGCCTGGGTTCCCTACGGCATCTACTTACTTTTGAATCTATTTCTTGTAGATAAATGTGTGTCCTCCTCTTTCACAGCCTTATCTTTTGATTTGGAGGAAGAAAAACACTCATTTCTATAAAGCTATTAAATGTTTTCCTTTCACAAACACCAGTTTTGTACATCAGAAGCACTGCCTTTCATGCCTATTGAATTCTCGGAAATGGGCTTCGAGTGCCTATTTCAGAAGTTGAAATCTGAACATCAGCTCTTTCTTCCTCTCTGCATTCCTGCCACACAATCCTAATCCTCTCCAGTGTGATGGATCCCTCTGGCTGGGTAGAAGAGAGATCATTTAAAGGAAATGTGAAAAAGAAAAGAGTAGTATGCCATTTCAAGAGATTCTTCTCCTGACAGTTATTTTCAACAGGTGACAGGCATTGATACTGAGGAAAAATTCTTGGGTGAATATAAACCACTCCCCACTCCCGTCCCCAACACACATTCTCCAGAAATTCCAGAATGCCCAGTGAGTGCATTCATTCCACTCATATTTAGTGCCTAACTACATGCCAAGGAGCTGGGTGCCAAGAACAAAAAAGTACGATTCCTGCCCTCTGCCAGAGTTTGTGATCCGTGTCGATGCATTAGAGATGAATCCAATGATTACACAAAATGCGACATTGCAATTTTGTCTTTGCACTTGCTGTTCCCTCTGGCTGGAATGCTTGTCCCTGCAAGGCGTCTGCCTGGCTTCCTCCCTGCCTTCCCTAGCCCTTTTCACAATCATTACTCTTCACTGATGGCCTTCTTGGCCCCGCACTCTGTTAACATTCCTGCTCTTTTTTTCTCTCTAGCATACTTCTCTGTTTATGGACAGTCTATCCCGGAATGTAAGCTTCATAAGAGTAAAGACTTCCTTTTCACACAATCTTTTATTGTTCTCTGTGGAGAACAAAATTCCCAGAGCAGAGAACAGTGCATGGGATATAGTAGGTACTCAGACAATGTTTATTGAATGAATAAACACTGACCACACTAAGTGCTAGTAAGTGTGGGCTGAGAAGGATTAGAGACAAGCAGCTTCCCAAGGGAAGTGATGGATGGGCTGATCTAAGGAAAACTGGGAGGCATTAAGTAGGCCTGAAGGAGAGGGAAGTAACTCCATGCAGGAAACACTGGCATGTGTCAAGGTCCTGGGTGAGCAGGAGTATGGTGGGCTTAAGAAACTAGGAGGAGTTCAGTGGGATTCAAGCACAGAGGATGCGAAAGAGATGTGACGAGGGATTAATAACAAAGCTCACACTTAGGACTGTCACACAGTGCTGTGAACTAGGCCAACCTTCATACTAGTCTGGGAGAAAGGTACTATACATATTCCCATTTTACAGATGAGGAAATCAAGGCCCAGGTAATATAGGTAACTTGCACAAGTTACAAACCTAATGAGCAGCAGAATTAGAGTTCCAATGCAGGAACTTTGACTCCAGAAGCCTAAGTTCTGAAATCCATATGGCATTCAGTCTCCAGTATGAGGAGGAGGGGTCGGCACAGGTAGGGCTTTGTAGTGACATAGAATCCCAGGTTGGGGCTAGGATAGAGCTGATATATACAGGCTGGATATCTCCCGGGGTGGTTCTTACAGACCTCCCAACTCCCCACTCTCCACCCAACCCCACCCCATCCCACCCCATCTCCAGAGCTGCACATGCTCTGATCGTATTGACCTTAAAAAGCTTGCTTCCATTCTAGTCAGGATGGGTAAAATCAGTCTAAATTCCCTGAAGATTTGGCCATGAACCAATAAGATCCCTTCAGAGATGAGTATAAAGCTAGTGCTCTATTCTCTGCAATGACAGGTTATTTAAAAAAACATTAATTAGGTCATTTGCAACGCCATGTGAGTGGCCAAGGCTGCTGACTAGAATCCCCTTGGGACTTTAAAAATATCCAGATGCCCAGGCTGCACCCTCACCAATTATATCAGAGTCTCTTGGGTGGGACCCAGGCATCAGTATTTTTTTTAAGCTCCCTGGGGATACCCAATGTGCAATCAAGTTTGAGAATCAACAGTCCAGTCCACAGCTACTCAAAGGCTGGAGCAGGGATCAGCGGCATCAACATCCTTGAGAAGCTTCTTAAAAATGCAGAATCTCAGGCCCTTTCCCAGACTTACTGATTCAGAATCTGCATTTTATTTAACTTTTATTTTATTTCTTCTAAAAATGGGGATACATGTGCAGAATGTCCATTTTTATTATATAGGTTATGTGTATCATGGTGGTTTGCTGCAAATATTGACCCATCCTATAAGTTCCCTCCCCTCACCCCCACCCCCAACCCCCCAACAGGCCCTGGTGTGTGCTGTTCCTCTCTCTGTGTCCATGTGTTCTCAATGTTCAACTCCCACTTACGAGTTAGAACATGCAGTGTTTGGTTTTCTGTTCCTGTGTTAGTTTGCTAAGGATGATGGCTTCCAGCTTCATCCATGTCCCTGCAAAGGACATGATCTCGTTCCTTTTTACATAACCTCATGTGGTTAGTGGCTATGCTGGTGGACCATGCAGGTCTGGAGCAGGGCTTTTCAAACTTGCATGGATTCTTTAAGAATTGGCATTTTAACATGGAAATTTCTATCCACACAAGTTTGAAAAGCCCTGCTCTGGAACTGCGTGGTCCACCACCGCAGCCACTAACCAAAGGTTATTTAGATTTAAATTAAAAATTCAGCTCCTTAGTTGCACTGGCTACATAGATTTCAACTGCTCAATGCCACAGGTCGCTGGCTATCATATTGGACAGTACAGATACAGAATGGCCTGATCATTGCCGGAAGTTTATGGACAGCACTGTTCCAGAACATTCTGGAGTGGTGGTAATCCACAGTCTTTTTTCCTGTGGATGCTGCAGGCATACAGACAGACAGTGCTACCCTCCCTGGATGGGACAAAATTAAGATACATTAAACCAGGCACACAGGGGATGTATCTAGATCATTGATTTTCTGCTCATTTGAAATAAATCAAGGACACGGCCATGTCTTCCCAAGCCCTAAATAAGTACAGTTTATAGGGTGGGGGACAGATGAATGGGGAAGAAAGGAAAGAAGAAATGCAAGAAGTAAGATCAATTTCAGGTGCTAGAACAGGATGCAAAAGGGTTAGCCCAGCCCCCACCCCTCCCTGTCAGTCTCAGCACTGCCCGCTAAGCACGAGGCAGGAGAGCGCTCAGCAAGCAGATGTGATCGCTTTGTGACTCCAGGTGCAAATATGAAAAGGGGGCATTTAGTAAGCTAAATGATAGCAAGCT